ATGAATGAGCCCATTGAAGTTCTTGGTTGATAACAGCAGAGATTTTGGAGCATCAGGAAAAAACAGATGTAGATGGGAATGAATGCAGAAAGAGTTTGGGAATATATCCTAAAGGCAATACTTATATTGGTGGTGGGGAGAAATAATCATGGAAAGAAAAAGAATGAGTTTGGAAAGGTGTTAGGGCTGAAAATGTTTTTGAAACATGAGTCTACATTTCATTACTACAAAGTTCCAGTATTAAGTTGTATGACACAACATTTTGCAAGTTTTCAACAGGCCTCGTCAGTCTTCAAAGCTACGTTTAACTCCTTATCTGCACCATAATTACCTTAAACCAACCCAAATATGGTCTGTATTCCTGCATCCCTTTAACTATTATGTAAACTCTTTATTTCAGCAGTCAATAAATGAAAAGCTTATTAAATACAATATAATGTCAGTTTCTAAGTCGCCCCATATAACAATTCATTACTACTAGTTTACTTGCATAAAATAGTGAAATTATTCTAAAACTATTTCAAAAGTATTCTGAAACTCAATTTACATTAGAACTAAGTCTATATGTATTACATTGTTAATAAATATTTAGTATTTAAAAATTGTTAGCAATTATATTAAAAAAAAAAACTAAATGGGAACATTTTGTAACTTTCTGAGAATCAACATAATAGATTAGCAACCTTCGTTTTACTGACGAGCTGGAATGAGACATACAGCCAACAAAGAGCTAGTGACATACCCCTTGTGTCTGTAGGGACAGAGGTGTGATACGTCGTTTTTCCCATTCATTGGGGCGCGGCTCAGGTGTGGATTCCATAAAATTGCGCTTGAGTTCACTAATGCTAGCCTGATGTCTCAGTATGTCCTCCTGGGCCTTATCCAGGTCCTAGCAATACGCAACGTAATAAAGGGGGAAATCCAAAAAGAAAAAACCCAGTAGGACAAAAATAAAAAATAAAACCAAAAAATAAGACACAGCAAACTTATGATTCAAAAAACACAGTAAAGCAAGAAAAATGCCAAGTCTCAAAAGCCATGTTATTGCCTATGAATACAATGAGTTCATCAAAATTTGAAAATGAAGCCAATGTGTAATTGTTTTTATGATTCACATTTTAAAGGGTTCTCATTTCTTCTGTTTAGCATTTTTTAAGGAATAACTATCCACATCATTAGAAGGAAGCCATGGAACTAATACTCAAAATGGCTAATAACCCTCCTTCCTAATAGTTGGGCTTGAAATGCAGCCTATGACCTCGTTCCTGCAAATTTACCTTTCTTATTAGGGCTACTTGCTTTCTGTGGACACAGTAAATCAAGTGAAAATAAAGAAAGGTGGACTCAGAAGCACTTCTGGCCTGACAGGAAAGCCAATACAAGATCATCCAAAAAAAAAAAAAGAAAAGAAAAAAAAGGGGGGGGAAACCAAGGATGGACTTTTTTCAGGAAATTCCAGCCGTGGATTTTAACCCTTTAGGAATAAAAATACCAGCTTCCAGAAGCTGCTTCTTTTTGGCCCCTCTATAAAATAAATGAACCTCATACTGGTTTCATGTACTTGCCAAGCACAAATGTGGGGGCCCAGCCACCCCCCATACCAAATGGTCCTTATACATACAAAGACACAAGAAAAACTACCAGGTGGATTTTCAATGGAGTAGGCTCTGATAAATGGTATTTGTGGGATTTTTAAAAATTGGCTCTGATAAATAGTATATTAAGGTAATTATTGTTCAGGAAATGGTTTTAACTGAATTTTAAATGTTTTCTCACATTCCAAAAATCACGGGGCTACCTGTGGATTACAGCTTTCATCACACTCCCAGAGGGACAGGTCATGCATCTGAAAAAATTAGATATTCCATATTCATGCACAAGCATAGTAGCTCATCAAGGAGCTTCTATAGCCATTTGCAAAAACTCATGAAAATCTAAAAATCTTTGCATGGCATGGAAAAATGACTGTGGCTTGAGATCAGGCACATTTCTTGCATTTGTTCAAAGCAATGTTATGTATTACACTTTAGAGCATTTTAGTAAGTTATGCGAAAATACATTTCCAACAGTTATCAAAGCTGCCAAAAGCAACCAAACGGATTAGTCAGATTACTGAGAATTGCAGTTCTCCACTGAATACATTGCCACGTACTACCCTAAAATAAGAAGGAATAAAGAAACAAAAAACTGTTCTCGTGTGACACGGGGAATATATCTTACATTCCCTAATTGGGTGACTAGGTTTTCTTTTTTTTTCCCCTCCTTTCTCTTTTTCTTTCTTTCATTTATTCTTTCTTTTCAATCAAAACAATCCCATTAATTAGCTACTCTCAAACGGAATACTTGAAGTGGATAGACCACATTCCTAATTGCATGGATTTTAGTGCAGCTCCCCCATTTCCAAAAAAAACTGTGGGCAGAGTCCAAGACTAAAATGACTTAATGCCAGATCAACAAACATCTGTTCTGGGTAACGTATACGAAGGATGGATCATGTTACTTCAGAGTCCATGTCCTGGAAATAACCCATTAGGAGAGAGCAGGTTACTCGTAGAACCACCTCAAGATTAACGGATACAAACTTTAAAAACAAACATCTGATTAAACACAACTTTTATTTTCCCAGTTGTCACTTTGAGAACTTCTGGTAGATATATTCCTATATAAGCCACTTGAAAAGAACACAGTCGGACAGGCCACATGCACTCCCGAGCTGAATGTCCCCCATGCACATCATGCACTGGTGCCTGAAGACAGCTGCCAGCCAGCCTGTGCGTGACCTCCCATCCAGAGCAGCCTGGCAGCCATGAGGACAGTGGTGTTCTTAAAGTATACAAACCTCCAACATTAAATTGCTATGTCTGACATAAATATTATCCCCTTCTACTCTCAAGGAATTTTTCTGTGAAATTAAATCACACACAGGGAAAAAGGCAAATAAACAACAGTGTATCAATCAGCAAGCACCAGAAACGACCCGAGTTGGACACTCTAAGACATTACAATAAAGGAGTAATAAAAATCTTAAGAACCTAAAGCCACAACAAGCAAAGCTCACAAATAAACCCTCAGAGTGCATCACCCCACACACAATAATAATGGCAGGCAGCAGCCACTGGTTATTTAACTTTGGAGAAAAAATATCCACCTCCTCCAGCTGTGTTTCCTCTTCTTTCATCTTCGCCTGAAAAGTCACACAGCAAACGGCCGGAGAGAAGAGGAGGGTTAGTGGAAACTCCACCAGCGGTGCAAAGAAGCTGTGTTGGAACTTAAACGGTCAGCCAGCATTACCAACCTTCACCAAGCGGCCCTCCGCGGATGCAGGACAGTGGGCCACCTTGGTCTGTCTTCACCTACAGTGTTGTACAAATGATGGAAATGGCCCTTTGCAAAAGTGGAATGGAGAGTGGAGGCTTCACTCTTTCTCAGCCCCGAGATTATGTGCTGCTTTTGAATATTTTTTTATCCAGGAATGAAAATATGCGAGTGTAAAAATGGCATAATTCAATCTGTTCTAATTTGATCAACTAGTGATGAGGGCAAAGTATAATGATGTAAAATTTGGCTTTAGCTTTACATCAGGGACAAATGTTCACTCCATTATTCAGTTTTTTAACATAGATTTCTTTCCTTGGGGGGAAAATTGGTTTATTTTGCTATATTCACGGTAAACCGGTAGGTATTTAAAAATGCTCTTTGAAATATAGCCACTTTTCTTTCATAAAATTCTTTAAACAAGAATAGTTTTTCATAGTGGGACAATTGTCAGTATCTAATGACCCAAAAGAATGAATTTGTAAATTTAAAACTAACAGAAATACTTGTGACTACTGACTCAAGGAAAGGAATGGCAAGAAAAAAAATATTGAATCTGATACAGAAGGAAAATAGTTTAACCTTTACAGGAGGATCCTATATCATATGTTCTTTTTCTTCTTTAGTGGAATGACAGTGTCAAATCTGAGAGTTCAAAATGCTTTTTTTTTAACCACTAATATATTTTGAGAGGTAAGCAAGAAGCTCAAAGTATCTTTTTATCAGAAGGAAAAAATGAGACACAGCCACTCAACAATGCGTTAAGAATCAGCTTCCAATTCCTTGGCCAAAACTTCATTCTCTAAAACGTCAATCTTGGGCATTCCTCAGGTAACCCATAAGAATCATGGCATCTCCCACTATGCCTAATCATAGCATTATCTTTGCATTTTTCTTTAGGTTTACTCTCAGTTTTGTGATTTACTCTATGTACTGATAGCACCCACAGGATATGAGACACTGAGTCACCAGACACATTTAGCAAAATCAAAAACATAACTGCATGTCAGCACTGACGGAGGAGTACAGAGGCAGCCATCTACAGGGGTCAAAACCCTCAAACCAGGTACCTCGTTTTAAATAAAGGAATACTAAGAGAACCAACCTTAGGGCTATATAGTCTAAATTTTCAAAAAGCCATGTTTCATTGTTCATATGCATTTGTTAAAGAAAAGATAACAGAATAGTATTTTCCTTATAAAATATCTAATGGTGACTTTTATGTCAATTACATGATTTCAAGTTAAAAAAAAAAAAAAACACACTACCTGAAATTCATCTGGTCCCCAAATGCTACAATAATAGGGAGACAAGGAGTTTCCGAGATTAGACCTACCAATGTCAGGAGTACAGGTTACAGACACATCCTCATAAACACAAGAAGGAGCTTGGCTTTCTAACAAAAGGAATAACACTGAGGAGTTCTGCTAATACTCATCAATTACAGTTATGTTCACTGCATCCTAAGTTCTATATCAAAACAAAGTTTCTATCTTAAAAGAACAGCATTAATATTAGTATGCACAACGGACAGACCCAATATGGAATGTTAAGGGAAACACAGGTCCCCGTCTCCTTTCTTAGATCTAGTGTGGTCTAGATATTTATGAAATAATCCTATAACTGCTCTCCACTTAGAAAGTATGGACCTGGTCAATGGATATCAATGGAGGGGAGGTGCTTACACTTACTTCTCATGCACTAATACTGTGTGTGTGAAAATACGCAGCTCAGACTATGGTGAGGGTAATCAGTGGCGATATTTATGCACATGTTTACACTCTACATTAGGAAGGGTATAAGATGAAGTGTTCTTTTGTTGACCCCACAAATTGAAGCTTATGTAGGAATGCCAGCAACTGCTGCCTCTTCCTCTGTTTTGTCATTCAAGTCCGAATCATAAGAAACATTAAAGGAAGTGGCTTTAGCCTCCAGGTAGCAGAGGGATAGAGCCAGAGGAAGGGAAACGGTGAGAGAAAAGGGCACCGACTGAGAAGCAGAGAGAAGCAGCCCAAAGATGAGAATGAGGGAAGGAAGGAATGAAGGGGAGGTCACAGGAACATAGTGTTGGACGTCAGCGGGGAGAAAGGAGACCCAGACCCTGGGGAGGCTGGGGAAAGCAAGATACCCATCCTCATCGAGGAGTGAGGGGAAGCCAGGTGGAAGGCACCCGCAGAAACTGAAGGAGTACCCCAACTCAGCATCCCTGTGGTCAGCCTCTTGTAGAGGCTTTTCCCAGGTGGGAGGACAGGCAGGCTTAGGAGCAGCTACCACAGGATCCAGGGCAGAATCAAGGGTGGCAACTCCAGCGCCCCCCTGCTCTGAGGTGTCACCTGTGGCGAGAGGATCTAAGCTGTCTAGTGTGATCTGATCGGCCTCCCCAAAGGGGTCTTCCTCCGAAATGTCTGAAAGCACGTCCATTTCAGGGACTGGCAACAGGTTTGGGGAAAGAGATGAGGCACAGCAGATGAGTGACAAAGGTGGGCACATGGGAACAGGCTGTTCTCAGGAGCAAACCCGTGATTAAATGTGCAATTACACAACGGGTACATTCAAAGGAGAAACAAAGGCAAGAGAGAAAGAGGAGAGAAGAAGAAATGGGCAGTTAGTGAAAACTTTTACTCTGAAGTAGGAATTGTATTAACAGTACAGTCAGAAAATGAATTACATGATCCATTTTTAAAAAGGAAAACTGGACTTTTATCACATAAAATTTATAGAGATAGACTGATATAATTATTATTTTCCAACTTGTTGCAAATAAATCTGATGAAACTCAAATCGCATTATTACTTTTAAACCTGGTTGCTGACCGACATCCAAAGCATTAGCCAAGAGGCCAGGCCACCACACCCAGTTGTTTGCCAAAGACAAGCAGCATTTCCTCTGGAATTTCAAAGGACTTTAAAAAAATAAATAAACAAAAAACAAAACACAACTAGATGTATCAAATTAACTAGGCAAAATGGAACACAGACTTGGAAATGCTGAGCCCTTCTGTTTCAGATGTAAGTAGTCCCTTTCCCGGCTGCCTAGTGAGCATAATTATGAAAGATCCCGACAACTTTTCAGCAGCTGAAGGATACCTTGTTGGACACGATTTCTGTTATTTTTAGCTAAATAATTTTCAACCAAATAATTTTTTTAGTACAATATTCACAAACTCTTTAACAAAGGTGTGTGGGTGATCTGATGGCAGGTGACACCTGAAGCACTCGTCCTCGTGGCAGAAGGGCCCGCATGGTGCCCAGCCCTCCTCCATCCTGAGCGCCAGAGGCTGTCAGCCCGGGAATCCCGAGGCACTGGCAGCTACGGCATCTGGCAGGTTCTTTATAAACTCATGTTGCGTGTCTTTAAAAATTTCAAAGTTAAAATTTAGAAAACATTGTAAATCTATAGGGTGATTTCTTTTTTCGTGTTAACTTCCAATGTTACCTATAAAACAGTTGCTTTGTGCAGATACAGAAAAGAGATCTGAAGAATTCAAAGCCTCTTCAAATCAACCTCCAAGTGACTTTACTTGCCCAAGGTAACAAGGTGACATAGAACAACAGTGATCAATTTGAAAACACAATACAGGTTACTTCTCCATTCCCCATGGTGTCTGCGCCAAATAAGGCCAAAAGCAACACATCACCTTCTCACTCAATGTTTACAAAACAATGATCCTTTGCTTATGAATTTCTTCATCAGTTATAGATTATTAATGAAAAATAATTTTTCATAAAGACCATCTAAAATTTTTCATAAAGACCATCTTTGTTCATTCCAAAAATTCAAGTCAACATAATTAGCATAATCAAGACAGGTTATACTTTAAAATTTGCTTGTAACAAACAAACAGAAATTTCAAATCATTATAACTTTCATAATTTGAGGATTTAACTCAATAGGATGATTATGAAGACAGTCAAAAAGGCCAGTAAATTACTTACTTGTATTAATATAACTTATGTTGAAATATTTTGCTTTGAACAACAATCATAAAAAGGTTAGAGACCCTGTCCAAATCAGCAAGAGGCTACAAATATGTGAAAATCAGGAAATTATATCAAGAGAGAACATACACTGACTAATTTTAAATGATATTTGAGGTCTAAAACAACAAATGCAACAGACAACCTCTGGTCTAAGGACATTTAAAATCACGCGTTCTCCTGATTTACCGTACCTTTCCTTCAATGAGCTGCACATGTGGGGCTTTAGCTGGGCTTCTGATGTCCCTTCTGCCATCCCCATCTGGTACCACGGCAGTGCTGGCAACTCCTGGGCCATACGCCAAAACCTCCCGAGCAGGGCCAGGAAAATCCTTCATCAGACTTTGGTCCACATCAGCAACTGGAGCTGGGGAAGAATGATCACGTGGATTACTTTAGGACATTTCAATGGTCAAACTTTATGGAACTTTCCCCCCTTACACAGATAAAGAGGTAGCATGTAGACAACAGGAGCATTGCTTCAGCTCTCAAAATACCAATGTATCAAATAAAATCATTTTTAAACTTTTACCAAACTCTAATATCCTGAATTTTAACCCATTAAACTACACCAGGCTCTCAAATCACAGGTTTTTGAAGGTTATCCTCTGACCATGGAACTGGCCAGTAGGAGGAGCTCTAAGACCAGCTGAAACACAAGATTTGGGGCACTATTGTCAGAATGACAATGTGAGCAATATTTTAATTCTCTAGGTTCTCTTTGATCTTGCCTGAACTTATTTCTGAATCTATTTATTGCAACAAATAATTATCTAATTAGTAAAATGATTTGCTTCAATAAGTTTTAAAAATTCCTCCATAAAGGAACCTATTCACAATTGTGACAAGACAGTAGAGGTAGCTTTTAGGGAATTAACTTCTATGCTTATGTTTAATAGTTTTCATTTTTCTAACCTCCCTCCTGAATGCCTCAACTTGACCTACAGGAAATCTAACACACGGACACCTTCCCACCTCAGCAAACCTGCCCTCACGTGCTCCCTGCATCTCTCCCACAGACGCGCAGGAACATACAGTGTGCTGAAATTTCTATCATGGCAGATCAACCTGACGGCCTCAGATCTCAACAAAGCCAAGTGAGTAGCAGCTGGGAAAGTCTCGGTCCATCTGCAGCTTCTCCCCCAAAACCGCAGAATAACCCCCGAGGTCATCTCACCTGCATAAAAGGTGCTGACTGACAGGGTGAGGTTTGCACAGGTTCATGCCCTTAACGATGCCTAGTAGACACAAAGGCCTTTAGGCTGCAAGCTCTTGGAGGGTGGGGACTGTGGTGATCCACCACACTGAACGTGGGAGGCATCAAGCTCCTCCAGGCCACGTGCTACAGGAAACCTCTTGATCCACACCCCTCACGTGCCTTGTCCAAAACTTCCCTCTTCCCTAGTCTTGCCTTTTTTGCCAAATACCACCCTCATACTTGCACCCAAATACTCCAGCTAGAAACCCTGAAGTCTCTTCCTTCACCCTCAACACCAGCAAGTCCAACAGTCCTCGGATATATTTCTAAAGGTGGCCAGTGCTTCCATCTCTCTTTGACCACCCAGGTCCCTTTTAAGATGTTCACAGCCCTCAACTACTGGAAGCTCACACCAAATCATAAAACGAACTCACCTCTTATATTAAGTCTAATTATTTTCCAGGTTATTTTTTTTTAAACTTTTGAGAAGATTTTAATAATTTTCCCTGGGAAAGTATACAGCTATGAGTAACTCTTTTAACTTGGCGATTATAATTTCTAAGCACCCATTACACACACACTCAGAAATTATTGCAAAAAGGGAAAATCTGACCTAGAAATAGTTTCAGATGTAATATTGAAATTTTAATGAATATCAAATATAAATTTATATAACAAAGTTGACAAAATGTTGACTTCGCATACTTTTAAACACTAATATTAATTTCAGTTTGCTGGGGAGGGTTCGGAGTGGGATGGGGCTTGTTTTGTTTTTTGCATTTTGAAGCAAATAATTTTTTCAGATCTTAAACACTTGAGAAGCCTGGAGGCCCTGGGGAATGTGCTTATGATACCACATGCCAACTGGCCTACTACCACCCAAGGCAAGAGCACCAGGACTCTCACCTGGACTATTCCCAACCGGTCTGCCTGAGCTTCCTTTCTCATCCTCTCTAGTCATTCTCAACACTGCACCAAGTAATTTTTTTAAAAAGGTAACACTATGCTCTTATGTGCTTACACAAGTGTGTACACACGCACGCACGCGCGCGCACACACACACACAAACCCATCAAGGGTTTCCTACAGCACCTAGAATAAAGACCATATTCTTGGGCTGGCCCCGTGGCTTAGCAGTTAAGTGCGCATGCTCCGCTACCGGCGGCCCGGGTTCGGATCCCGGGCGCGCACCGACGCACTGCTTCTCCGGCCATGCTGAGGCCGCATCCCACATACAGCAACTAGAAGGATGTGCGACTATGACATACAACTATCTACTGGGGCTTTGGAGGAGGAGGACTGGCAACAGATGTTAGCTCAGAGCGGGTCTTCCTCAGCAAAAAGAGGAGGATTAGCATGGATAGTTAGCTCAGGGCTGATCTTCCTCGCACACACAAAAAAAACCCATATTCTTCACTGTGGCCTGCAAGGCCCTGCGTGACCGCCCCAGCCTACCACTCCCCATCATGTACTAAGCTCTGACCACACCTGCCTCCCCGCTGTTCCTGGAACGTTTCAAGCTCTCTCTCGTCTCATAAACTTCAGACCTGCTCTACTCACGGCTGCCTCCTCCTCGTCTCTCAAGTCTGAAACAGTTCTTCCTCAGACAGGCCTTCCTTCTCTGATGACCCAGTCTAAGTAGTGTCTCTGCTTATTCTATTTCCCACTTTCAGGAAATCATTCTTCCGCGTTCTCAAATGCATCTCGGTTGTCACTTCTCTTAAATGACTATTTGCCTCCTTTTCGGTTTGATTTTTCAATCTCAGAATCTCACTATTCTAAAACAGCTATTCTAGATTGATTTTTATTTGATATTTGATCTTAGATATTACAATGTTTCTTACATTCTATATAATCACTAGAAGATTTATTTTAATTGGTCAAACTTTAAAGTGAGGAAAATTTACATATTTAAATTAGTCTAGCTTACCTCAAATACTAAACAGGAAAAAGAAGATACAACACACGTCAATAACAACAAAAAAAAGGTATATTAATGGGGAGTGGTGAGGAAAATGAAGCTCAGGACCAGGTCACAGCCCAGCTTTGCTCTAAGGGAAAAAAACGAGAATATAGCCCTAACCAAATAGTTCACCGGCTGTCTGGTCATGTATTGGCACGAAAAGCCTTCTATTTTTCACAATAACACAATAATCCTTTTGATGACTTGCCCATCTGATGAATTACAGTGTCCAAAACACGAAAGGAAAAATAATGGATTACTGTGCCATGTTTGTTACTTTTACTTGTACAAATCATTGCTTTCAGATACAGACCTACTATAACCCTCTGACTAACCGCCCGTGCAAGATGGTGGGTTTCTGTGAGCACAGTTTATATAGCTCAAAGAAACGCAGTGGTTTACTGCTCTTTTCAGTCTCCGACATTTGCAATATAAGAGTAATAAAGCCTCATAGTTTAAAACAAAGGCTGAAACAGACAGTGTTCCAGAAAGAGGAATAATTTCTCTCAGGGCATCAAACAACACTGACTGC